CTCTCCTAAGGCAAGTTCTAGAGTATTTAATGGTCAATGAAGATCTGTTACTTTTATGTACCAAAAAGAAGAACTTTCAAATTACTAAATAAAAAGGGAATGATTATTAAAAAAAAATCAAGAAAGTATACAAAGTAAATATATTTGAGATATGTTTTTTTGAAATCTTATTGTTAATAAAAGTTAACAATAGTATAAGGAGACAAATTAAAATTAGATTATTCTACAATAATTTTAATCTCCAAAGAACTGTTTGATGGACTTAATTCAAAGTATTAAGCATAATAACATTTATGAACTATATTTAATATTCTGTTATTAAATTTCATTTAGGCAATTAGTCTTGTAAGAAAAAGTCTTATTTTTAAATTTATTTTCTTTTTTATTGATCCCCTGATGCTTGGGATGGAACTCAGGGCCTCACACATGCTATACAAGTGTTTTATAACTCATCTACACTCACAATCTAGGAATTCTCTTTTTTAAATGAGAAAGTATGTAAAGCGTATTGTCAAATGTCACCTCCATATTCATAAACAGAAAATACTCTGAGAATATATACAACAGCTATAATATTCCTCTTTGATCCAGACATAGTAAAAAAAATAAGGGGAATATAAAAACGAAGAATGTGTTAAAGAACAATTATGCGTTCTCTCTTTCTTTACAAATTAATAAAAAATGATATATACCTATTCTCACTAATTTCAACATCAAACTATGAAGTTACAACTTTAGAAGAATGCTACAAGAGGGCAATCCCAGTTTGAAATTAAGAATTAACAAAAAGATTATAGAAATTATTGTTATTAATTTCCCATTGTTTTCAGAAGATAGGATAAAATAAAATAGCCCCCCCCTTTTAAAATTGCTGATGCTCTGAGTTCTATGTAGAAAGTTTTGAGTACAAACTTTTTACTGAAAGACTTTCTAAATATTAACCTGACAAATATGAAAAAAATGCTATTAAATGTGCTATTTATGTCTTGCATAGCTTAAATTTGTCCCTCATTCTGGGATAGTGTTATTCAGCTTTGACTGAATTATAATTTGTTGAAACCACCAGCCCCTTGGTATTAGGCTAAAACATAAAGTTGGTGAATTATATAAGAATTGATTGATTGATGAATAGATTTATAAATTTTACTAGATTTTTACAAATTATTCTATATGACTTTTCCAATTTATGTTCCCCAACTCTTATGAATCTTGATATCTGAAATTTGTTATGACCACCTGGTGGTGGGCAGCTTTTAAAATCTTATCTACTCTATGAATGTGAAGCAGCATATTATTTTTCTCTTAATCTTAATTTTTTTAACTTTTATTAAATTAAGCATTTTTTTCTTATGCTAAGGCCACTGAGGTTTCTTATACTGTGAAATTTTCTTTTTCCTACATTTTTCAGTTATGCTATTATTTTCTTATTGACTTGTTCAAGTGTATATTTTCTGCTGTATAAAAATATCTTCTTCTAAATACTCTCATATTTATTTATAGTGTGCTTTGCTATAGTTTTCTTGTTGTTTGATGATTAATAATAAAGACATGTTTGAGAAAACAGATCAAATATAAGAAATTGGAGATTTTGATGGTT